GAAATTATATAGTCAAATTCAAAAAAATATGTGTTGCCAAAAATACCCCATTCTACTTTAAGATTCGTGGTTGATTTAAGCGTATTTTCATCCACTCTTTCTAAAATTTTATTCCCCAACTTGCCCTCCTTTATTAATCTCCAGCAGTCCTCACTCGAAACTTTCTCTAAAATATCAGCTATATCGATTTCTGAGTTATAAATTCGTAAAAATGTATAAGTACTTTTCCCAAAAATTAATTTCTCGCATTTAAAGCCTGTAAAAATATATGGTCTCTTCCTTGGGACGAAAATTTCCACACTATATTCCTCATATAATTTATTATTGGGAATTGAACAATTTATTATCTTCGGAGGAGCTAACAAAATTGCATTGTCCTCTTTTAGACAAACCTGGTAACTGACCGTATTTTGAATTAAAATCAAGCTTATCAGCGTCAATAACGGAAATATAGGCGATGGGGATTTTCGTATATTTTCTACAACATTTATTTTATATCCTCCTCGCCCTCGAGGTTTATTGGTCCTTGCGGGTGTAAATCTATTAATGTTTGTATTTCCATTTTGAACGTTTTGGTAGGGTCTATATCTGTTCATATTTTGGTTTCTCCAATTTCCTCTATATGGTATAAAGTTGGCATTAAATTGACCTCTATTTGTCGGGTAGGAGCCCCACCCGTTATTAAAAGGTCGTCTATAATTATTCCATTGCGGATTTTGTTACTCCATTATTCTGGAATCTGTTTCTGAAAAATGGTGTTCTCCTTTGAAAGTTCGGTAAAAATCTTTGGAACCCATTATTTTTAATTTCCTGTTGTCTAGGTTCTTGAGTACTATTTTGAACCTTACCTATTTGATTTATGCTCTCTACTTGCGCAGTTGTTAATTTTTCTCGCGAAATCTCTATTTGTGCCTCTTCTTCCTCAACTGCCTGCTGTATCGCCTCAGGCATTGATCCTGGTCTAGGCATTCTCCTTAATTGCTCTCTAAGTTCAAGTTTTAATCCTCCCCTAAATAAATCAATGGCTAAATCCTTACGAATATTTGCACTAAATCCTGTAGCGTCAGTATACCCTTTATCGACTAACTGTGTAATTATTTCTGCAAACTCGGGAATACTCTCATTTACTCGCTGTCTTCTTATTTGGGCCATTCTACGAAAATGGGGTACACTGCTACCTATTGCGAATTTTTGGGCCAATTGATCTTTAAGAGTTTCCCAATTTCCTTTCTGCTCAGCTGTTAAATTATCATAATAGATTTGGGCTTCTTTTTCTAAATACATAGGTAACATTTTACACATTTCCGCGTTCGACCAACCGTAAGCTGTTCCAATTTTATTAAATTCAACTATAAACCCTGAAAAAGTCCGCGGGTCTCGACGACCTAGGAATGGAGCAATTTTAAAACTCGGTTTGTTTCCTATATTCCCCAATTTAATATTCAAATCTTGCAACTGCCCCGCTAAATCTTCCATTTTTCTTTCCCAAATTTTTTTCAATCTATTTTTATATCTTTTGGTTCTTTCTGAATCTTCCCCTACCTGACCAAGTGTTGACGGAGGGGTTCCGTACAAATTCTTAATTTCAGCAGGCGTTTGACCGGATTGTTGGTTGTTTAGATTTTTTGAATTGGCTATCAAATTGGACGTTAATTTAAAAATATTTTTAAAATTATACCTTAATTAGTCTCTAAAATTTTAATTTATATTACTATTAACTAGATTTAAGTGTCTTAAATATTCCCGAATATGCCTAAAAATACGCAAAATTTCTTAAAATATTCACTAAATTTAGAGATGTGCCGAAACAGATTTTAAAAAGCGAGACATTCTACAAATAAAACTAAATATTATCAAAAAAAAATTTATCTAAAGCGATAAACTCAGAATTACTTTTTTAATATTCTATTGTACTTAATTTATTACCGAAAATGATCTAAATAAATTTTTGGCAATGAGATTTTAAACAAAAATTTCTCAGATTAGATTAAAAAATTAAATATTTCTGCTAAAAATAATTTTTAGATAATAAATTTAACAAAAACAAAATTTTATGTTATTTCTAACGAAAACAAAATAATAGATTTCTAATAGAATGTTCGAATATTAACGCCAATTTTAGTGAAAATATGCAAAATTTCTTAAAATATACCCTAAATAAAATAAAATTGACTAGATTTGATTAAAAATTTATATATAAAAAAAAGCTTACACTCGTAATTACTATTTAATTAATTTATTTTACTTAATATTTTTGCGTAATAGTTTAAATTAATTTTTGAAGTAGAGTTATTTAACAATTTCTCAAATAAATTCTCTAAATTACATATTTTGTTCAGAGATATGTTTTAGATAGCAAACTTGTTAACATCTTCGCAATCTGCGACAATTTTAGTAAAACTACGTAAGATTCCTTAAAATAGGAAATGCCAAAATATGCAAAAATATGTTTTACAACCCAGTCCTCACTTAATTCATATCCTAAGAGTGGAGCTAAAATGTAAAAAATTTGAATAATTCGTTTGTAAATATCTCAATTTTTATATTAACTAATAAATTTAATTAAATAATAATAGATATCGTAAGAATGAAAAATGACAAAATATAAACATGCGGCCTAAAATATATTTTTTTTTTAAAAATGGCTTAATCTGTACGTAAATTCCCAAAATATAAAATTTTATATTTACTGAGTAACTGTTCAATGTTTCCTAAAATTCAAACAAAATCTCATTATATAATAAAATTAATTTTTCGGTAATTAGAAGAAATTTGACCTTAATAATTAAATGTAGAGACCCAACGGTACCGTACTAAAATGATATTTTCCGGTATTTCAATACGAAATACCGTTCAGTAGCAAATTCCGGTCTCTAATTAAATGTTAAAATTATAAATTTTAATTTAAACTCGGCTATATTCAAAGATAAAGTAAAGAGGAGGGAAAAAATTTAGTAAAAAAATAATTTTTTGTTTATGTTAAAAATTCTTATGTCGGCTTTTTCCTATTTTCTAAAAGCTTAAAAAAATATTTTTTCAAAGTATCACAAGGGATTTATTTGTCAAGTGTTCAGGGGGCCCTCCTTTCCACTTTGGAGTTATTTCCTAAAATTCTTTTTATTTTTTCAACCAAAAAGGGCAAAAATATTTTTTTTCTAATATTTGATATATTGTTTTGTTTTTGTTTTTTTGGCGCCGGAGGCGCTTCTTGGCTCTTCCTCCATATATATTTTTTAAATGAATGGCTTTGTTTTTGCCATTTTTTTCATTTTTTATATTTTTTAACTCCTTCAGACAAATAAATCATGTGATATCAGATGTACTTTTATTTACGGATACTTTATTTTAGCGTCCGTATTTGATTTATTATTTTTACTATTTTTTTTGGAGTTACTGTAGAAATTTTTGTTTTACACTAGATGGGTTTTTTGCACTAGCTTATTATTTTTGGCAATTTCATTAATGTATAATTTTATTTTTATTTCAGGTCAAAATATTCAAATCTAATTTTTATTACTATTACTCCATTTTTTAATTTATAGTTCGACAAATTGATTATTTTTACTCCGTTGGACATTTTGAGATGGGACGTTTTGTCATTTTATTTTAAAATAATAATTTTTTTTAATCAACTCCCTACATTATGCTTATAATATTGCTTTTTGTCCCCTAGTTTATTTTCTTAAAATTTCCACTTTTTTACTTGTTTTTGTTTCTCTTCTATTTTTGTTGCCGCTTATTTATTTTTATTTTCTCATTCTATTGTATTTTTTGGAAAGGAAAGGGAGAAAATTATTAAGATGGGCCAAAACTTTCCAAAAATTAACTTTATGTTAATTAGCACCTGCCTTTCTTTTTATTATATTTCGTCCTTATCATTATATGTATTATTTACTATTAAATCCCATTTCCCCAAATAAAAATATTAAAAAAAAATTTCCCTAAATTTATCATTGGGTCTCGCTATAAGATATACCCTCTTTTTAAGTTACCTTTCCTCAGATTTAATTATTCTCCGGGGTATGGTCACATTCTAGTTAATTTCCCTTATTTAAAATACGCCTCATTATAAGGTGCGGTCTTTTCCCGGGTGTATCTTATAGCGAGGTCTGACCGGTAAATCTATTTTCTTCAACAATGCATTTATTCCTTTGTTTTACTTTACTCTTTATTTCCGCTTCTACCTCCTTTGACGAACCCCCCGGTGTTTTTCTTGGTTGGGAGTTGGCTGATACTAGTGATCATTGTCCTGGTTGCCTTTGGTTTTGTTATCACCCAATTGGGTAGGTTTGAAAAAATACTAGAACATTCGAATCGGCTTTCACTTCGGTGAGAAAACCCCCTTTTTGTCTGTGATTCATTAAAAAATTTTTTTGGAATTTATTGGAAATTTTATTTTCGGATTTTTGGTAACCTCTTTTAGAAAAAATTTCGATTTTCGACGGTTTTCCTTCCAAAACACCTATATTACTGACAGTCCGTATAAAACCAAGAAAAATTTTCCACCTGGGTAAAATTCCGTCATATCACCTATACTCCGATTCGTCACTCAAATCTACTCCTTTTTACCTAAACTCTCTTTTAAGCTTTATCGAACCAACCTATTGCTCTGAGACCCCGCTTGAACATCCTTCTTCACTTTCGTGTCCTTTTGACTGGATTACAGTGTCTGTGCTTTTTTCCGTCGGTGTTGTCCATTCAATTGTTCTTGGTGTTATTGTGTATTTTGTTGTGCGTTTTAACCGATATTTACGTCGTCATGTGCCCTTGACGACAATTCCATTTACTGCTGCTCGACGACTTCGAACCGTTGGTACCCGGGCCCCGATGGAAGAAGTTTCACTCGAATGGGCCAATAATTAATATTTTTAAAGAATTTTTAATTTTTAAAGAATTTTGAATATTTTTTTTAATAATTTTTAAATATTTGTTGAATTTTATTTTAATTTTAAATTTTTCCATTGTTCGTGCAGTAATTTTTTATTTTTTTGTTAAATTTTTCAATTTAATAATTTCATTTTTGGCTGTGTGGTTAGCCTAGGACCTCCATTTGTAAGGGTTAGCACTGGGGACTTTAAGAATAAACAAATAAAAAAACATTTCCAATTAAATTTTATTTCCGAAAATTAAATATAATATTGGCGAGCGTGGTTCCGCCAGCAAAAGCCAAAAAGAACAATAGGGGAAAAAAAAAGGAACCACTAAAAAGAGAATATAAAGCTTTATATCTTTCTCAAAGTGGGAGGAGTTTCTTTTCCAGTCGAGAGTGATGTATTACAGTTTTATTAAATTCTTTAAGATATACCAATCCTTCCACCAATTCTGCACCCATTCTTTTTAAATCAGTTATTGTTATCTTTTAATTTAAAAAAATTTTTTTTTCAAAAAATTTTATTTACTTGAGTTCCAGCTTTTGATCCAAAATCAAACCCAAAATAACTAGATTCACAAGTATAAACCCGTTCAAGTTTAAATTGACGCCATATAGATACCCGTGCAGAAAATTCTTTAGCTTTAGTAATTGAGAATGAACAGTCTTTTAATGAAAATGAATCGGAAGACTTTAAAAAAATAAAAATTTAAATTAATTTAAATTAAAAAAAAACTTTTGAAAGAATTTCTGGAAGAAGAGAAAATGTTTTTGATTGTTGAGAATTTGTAATATCTGTTGGACACCATGATTCCAACGGATTATTTCCATACATAAAAATATTTGGTTTACGTGAATGTCCGTGCAAATCAATGAAAGAAAATGGAGGCATTTTGAGTATTTCAACCTTTAAAAATTAAATTTAAAATTAAAAACCCCTCAATTCACCCTCACCATATATTGTATTAATGCTTTTGTGTGAAATATAGATGGATGTAAAATAGGTGATGGGCAATTCCATACTCTATTTAAATCTTGTCCAGCAAGAGAACAACGATGACTGTTTAAAAATTTATTTTACAATTAGCTAAAAAATTGAGTTAGTCTAAAACAATGACCACCATTTTCTATTTCTTAATTGAATAATTTCCCCTTAGAGGATTTACTGTAGTCTTTTTAAAAAAAATTTACCTTCCATTAATTACTCCATCTGGATTTAGCATTGGAATTATTTTAAAAATAAATAAATCCCGTGCACGAATAGCCAAAGGATGTGAAGATAATAAAAATTGAATAAAACCTTTAATTAAAAATAAATTTAATTTTTTTCCAGAAAAAAACCATGAATAATCCAAGAACTATTAGATTCTCCTGGGTGAACACGTGAAGTAATTAAAATTATTTGTTTTGATTTTATATTTTTATTTGTTGTAATTGTTAATAAAGAAATTGAATTTTTATTTAAAGTTGAACAGAGTTTTTGACGATAAAAGAATAAATTTAGAGAAGAAAAGGGGGAGGAAGAAGAAGAAGATATCCACCATTCAATTGTTGACTTTTAAAATTAATTAAAAATAATTTTAAAAAAAAATTACTTGAAGTTTTGTATATGTATAAGGGAAATGATAAGCAATATAACAAACATCTTCATCATGAGGAAAACATAAAGTAAAACGAAGAGAAGAAAAATTTCTTTAAAGAAAAATTATTTATTTGGAATTATTTAAAAATTGTTAACGAAATGTAGTGTTAATTTACTGTTTTTTTCAAAAGGTTTAATTCTTTCTTATTTTGAATGTCTAGATTCTAATAATTTATTTAAACAAAACCTTACCCAAAACCTCTCATCCCTTCATTATTTATAATTAAAATTTAATCACCTTTTTTCCATAATTTGTAATTCTTCATTATTTTGTTTTTTCGATTTATTAATTATTTTTCCATTATTTTTTGAAATAACAGAATTTTCCTGAAAATTTATAATTTAATTTTAAAAAATATTTTTTATTTTACATTTTTTCCATTTTTTTTATTTTCTTTTCTTTCATCATCATTAGGGATTTTAAATAAATTTCTAAAATAACTAATTTCTGTTCCAGCCCTTCTCCAGCCAATATTTCCTTTTTTTGCTTCAATTAAAGAGAATAAAACTGGTTGCATTCCTTTTTTAATTTTTAAATTATTTTTTAAAAATTAAATAAAAAAACCTTTAGAAAACATTGATATATTTTTTAAACAATTAATTATTTCAAAAATATAAGGAATTCCAGCACGCATATTTGTAACTTCAAAATAAAACCATTGAAAATGTAAAGTTTGTTGGTTAATGTCTGGGGAAATAATTAATTCGTATCTATTTGTGCCTACCTAAAAATTAATTTTTTAAATTAATTTTTCTAATTATTTTAATTACTTGTATAGCTTTCCACAAATTTCCAGATTCAAAACGACTTTCAAAATTTAAACAATCATTATTTAAAAGTTCTTTATTTCCATTTAAATCAAAAACAATACGAGGCAAATAATTATTTTCTTCTTCTTTTTTCTCCCCCTTTTTATATTCAATTAATTTTTCAGAAATTATTTGTCTAAAAATTATTTTTAAAAAAATTATTTTTAATTAAAAAATTACTTGATTGAATTATTTAAAGAATTTTCACAAATATTTTCTTCTTTTCCATTAATTAAATCCCCACAATCAAACAATTCTGGATTTGCAATTTTAACAAAATTTCCAACAGAATTAATTTTCTTTTTAAACAAAATTTAATTTTTTAATTTTAAAATTAAAAATAACCTTCCATTCTTTCAAAACAATTTGTTTATATTCATTAATTTGAAAGGAATCGTTATTAGTAAATTCATCAAAAATTAATTGTTTACAACTTTCAAGTCCAAATTCTGGGAAGAATTTTTGATATTTCTTTTAAATTAAAAAAAAATATATAAAATTTTTTTGAGGAAATTATTTAGGAAAAAAATTTTTTATTTTGATACATTTACAAAATATTTTTACAAAATTATTTAATTTTCAAAACAAACTTACAATTAATTCATTTTGTTTCAATCGACTATATTGGCTAATATCTGGAGGTAATAATAAATTATTTTTTTGTTTTTTATTTTTTTCCTTTCCTTTATCTTTTATCAATCCTTCATTATTTTGTTCACCATCCTCCTCTTCTTCTTCTAAATTATTTAAAGAAAAAGAATTAAACGGCCAAAGATTTGAATCTTCATCTAAATTTATTTTAAAAAAATTATTTTTTCTTTAATTTTAATTAATTTACCACTTTCATCAACTAAATTTGACAATTTAAAATTATTAACAATTTGAGAAGAAGAGGAAGCAGGTAATTTAGACAAAACTTTTTTGTTGTTTTTTGTTTCTCTTAAAAATAAATTTAAAAAATTATTTTTATTAAAAAGAAAAACATTAAAGGAAGAACAAATTTTAAAGGAAAATCATCCAAACAGTAAGGAAATTCTTTTGGAGGTAAACATCTTAAACATAAAGAACAAAGTGAATCCTACAAAAAATAATTATTTTTTAAATTCTTTAATTTAAATTTACATATAATTGAGCATCATCCCCACCATTTTCTTTAAAATTATTTTCCAAAAAACTTTCCATTTTTTCAACTTTTGTTTTTCTTTCATTAAAATTCCCAGCCAAATCTTCAATAAAATTTTCACACATTTTTAATATATTTAATTTAAACAGTTGTTCTCGACATTCTTCTAAATTTAAAAAATAAATAAATTTAAAAATTAAAATATTTTCTTTTACCAATTTTTGCAAATTGCCTCAAAGTAGCCAAAGAAATAAAAACAATTTGTTGATAATTTAAATTAATTAAACGTTTGGGGAAATTTGTTTCAAAAATTAATTTTAAAATTGGAAGAATATTGTGTCGAATAAATAAAAGTTTGTTTTTTTCTTGAAAAGAAAAAATGAACAAATAAATTGAAAAAAAAGAAAAGAAAAAGGTTAATTTTAAAAGTTATATTTGTTGCATCAAAAAAATAATTTTTTGAGTAAATTAAAATGAAAGAGAAAGGATTTTTTGATCTTTTCAAGTTAAATTGATTTTTCTTTTATTTATTTAATTGAAAAAACTAACGATTTTTTGAAAATATAATTAAACATTCCAGTAATTTAGCCATCTTTAATGAACACAAATTTGAATTATCCAAAATTATTTGTTCGTCTTCTATAAAATTATTAAATGATAAATTTTGATTGACAGCAATTTCTTTTTGAGACAAATTTTCTTGTTTCGAAGTTTGTAGTGCTATAAAATAATTTTAAAGTTTTTATGCTAAAAGAGAAGAAATTAATTCAAACTCCTATATTAATTTTTTCCAAACCTTAAGTCAAAACTTTATACCTATTTTTGACCAACCCCCTTTTCTCCCCCACTTTTTCCAAGCTTTGAAGCCCCGTAACCATCCCCTTTAAGCCCTTAATTTATATTTTTTAAATCAAAATATACTCACAATTTATTAAATAAGAATTAAAAACATCCAATGTATTAACAAAACGTTTAATAAAATTATGTTCAGAAGTCAAAATTTGAGCATTTCTAACTTTAAAAGAAAATAATTTTTAAATTAAAAAATATTTTATTTTAAGAATTTACTTGATTGAAGTGATTTAATTAATAATTTAAATAAATTAATAATTTGTTTGTCAATAGAATCATTAAAAAATAAATAATTTGCCAAAAGAGTTAAAACACCACTTAAAAATTTTTTAAAAATAATTTAATTAAAAATCAAATAATTACCTTAATCTAACTTTTAAAACAAATTTCTTATCTAAAATTAAAAAAAAATTAATTAAAAATTAATTTAAAGACAAACCTTTTTCAGAAATTAACAAAATTATTTTTGCCAAAAAGTCAACAATTAAATTATCCAAAATTTCCCATTTTACAAAAAAATCAAAACATTTTCGAATAACACGTAAAAGATGGCTAATTAAATCTAATTTGACAAGAAAACGTAAACGATTTTGTTTAACTAAAAAATAAATTTTTAAAAAATAATTATAAAAAATTTTACCTAAATTTTCGGAATATTCAATATATCCATTAATTAATTTACAAAATACAAACAAACACAAAGAATCATTTGTAAACTAAAAAATAATTAAATTCCAAAACGTTTTTTACTTACTTCAAAAGATTTAATAATATATTCTAACAATGTTGGATTATTTGTTGGATTTATTTCTTTTTTAAATAATTGTTTTTCATTTTTGTTATCAAAAGAGAAAGTTCGTTTTTGTTGTTGTCTACTTTTATGTGATGAACAAATTGGGGATTTTAATTTTTTATTTGTTACACTTCCTCCACTTGTAGTATTTGGACGACGTAATTTACTAAAAAAAAATAAATTTAAAAAAATATTTTAAAAAATATGTAAGATTAAAAAATTTAGATAAATTATTTTAAAATTAAAATAATTAATTTAAAGAAAACAAAACCTTTTATTTTCAGATATTTTAGCAAATAAATTAATTTCACTTTTCGATTTCAACATTCCAATAATATTCGATTTTTGTTTAATTTTTCGTTTTGAAGAAGGCCTTTGTAAAGAACTTGATGATTCCTCATTTTTTGAGGATTTGAAAGAATTTTTAGTTTTTAAACTTTTTGATTTAGACAATCTTCCAGGAAATGATTTTAATAGCTAAAAAAGAGAGAAAATTTAAATTTATTTTTCAATTAAAAACCTTTTTTTGATTTTGTTTTTCTTCTTTAAAAGATTTATTTAATTCAATATTTTTTGAAATATTTCCACTTTTTTTCTTAATTTTTTCTTTTTCATTTTCACCAGAAATTGATGATTTTACTGAATTTCGATTAGGTATTTTCTTTGTTTTGAATTCTTTTGTTACTATTAATTCTGATTTAGAAGTTGTTGGCGAAGAAATAAAAATTGGAGAAGTTTCGAGAAAACTTTTTTTAAAGGAATAAAAATTTTAATTAAAAAATTAAAAACTCAAAAGTTGTTGACATTTTATTAATTTCTTTTTCAAATTTTTTTAAAATAAAAGAAGCAATTGATTGTTGTTCACAAACATCTGAACCCGTCAAGCAAAGATGAACTAATAAAGAGGTAAGAGAAGCTAATTCAGAAGAATATTCTAATTGCTGTTGGGAACAGAGACTTGAAAAAATATTTAAAATTATTTAAAAATATTTATATAGCTTAAGAGCAACACCAATATATAAAAACTACACATTGTCTCAAAGGAAAAAAATATCAAAAAATCCTCATAATTAGTGGCCAATTTTTTAATCAAAAACAAACCTGTTTGCCAAAACATGAGTAGATGTAGAAGGGCACGTATTGCCACAAAATTTGGAATGTTGATTGGTCATTACCCAATAAATTTATAACAAATACAATAAATAATTCCAATAAAGATTTACTAAATTCTTTTAAAATATTATCCAAATAAATATAAAATTAATTAGATAATTAAAAAAACTATTTTTAAAATTTTTATAACAAAAAAAAGGAAAAAAGAAAAGAATATATTTTATTTAAATTCTTCTATATTCTTCCATATATGGGTATTTTTATATATTACTGCACTAGAAAGAGAAACAACTATTTTGAGCAACAGTAAAAGATATCCTTTTTAGTTTGGACACCCTCCACTCTAAAAAATTAAAAAAAATTTTTTTTAATAAAAAAAAACAAACATTAATAATTTGGATTTCTTGTTCACTCAAAGGTTTGGGTTTATAACGTTCAGGTAATTGATAGAATTCAATACTTGCTGTAGATTCCAATTTATTGTTGTTTGGTTGCTTGCTTTGCTGTTGAGTAGTTGAAATGGAAGGATCGAATTTAGGTTGTGGAGAACGTCGACCCAAAAATTTAATCATCGGCTTTCTAGCAGCCTAATAAAAAATAAATTTAATTTAAAAGAGAAAATAAAACCATTTTTGTAGCTGAAGTTGCAAACAAACGATTCTCTTGTTTTGAATGAAATTCGGAAATATTTTTGTTTAACAACAAATCATTCATCTTCAAAATTTTCGACGTATTTGAGCGACGACTCCAAAGAAGGAAAGATTCAAAAAGTTTTAAAGAATTCTCCATTAAAAAGCTTAAATAAATAAAATAATTAGTAAATTTTAAAAATATTTTTAATTAAAATTTACTTTTGAATGTTCCGAACAAAATTCATAAAATACAGTAAATAAAAGTATTTTTTTAGAAAAAAAAATAAAAAAAGAAGAAAAAAATTAATAAAATTAATCCCTTTGAGTCTCAGGAACAAAAAAATTAAGAAGAAAAATTAACGAACTTTTTAAGAAACCTTGCAAACTAAAATATCGATACTCCTACATACGGAATACGCGAAATCCCTCAAATCCAGTTACTACACTTTTAAAAATAATAAATTTAAAGAAATTTTTATTATCGATATAGGGGTCATTCGATAAACGTGGAGCGCCCAAATTAAGAAAACTTATCCCTTATTTTTCAGAATTGTATTTTTCTTAAATTTATTTCGTTTATTTTTTTTTATTATCTTGCAATAACTTTGACTTTTTTTTTGAGTAATGGATGTAAGTTTAATAGTTTTGAATTTTTTTCTAAAATTCATTTTCAGTTTATTGATTTGGTTGAGAGTAGTCCTGAGCCTTACGATGACCGTCGAACTTCAGCATTTCAAATGGAAGGAAGTCGAACAGTAAAACCTGAACGTAGCGGTATTAGATGGGGAACAAATAGCAATTTAAGTATGAGAATTTATTTGAGAGAAAAGTTTTAATTAAATTTAAAGACGAGCAGAGTTCTCTGACTGTTCCTGGTGGATTTGGATTTGCTCGATCTCGTAGCCGTGTTGATGATTATACAGATTCATTTGGAAGAATGGAATCGACACAGTTTTTCAATCGATCAACAAATGGGACTCGTTTCTTTGATAATAGATTGTCTGAAGGAGGGGGAAGAGAAAATAGAGGAGTTTTTGAGAGGTTTTTATTTTTAGATCGGAAATTTTAAAATATAATTTTAGAGGACGAAAACTTGTTTCGGAAAGAGGTGAGGGATATGAGAATCACGATGTTGGTGGTGGCTTTTTCTCGTCAGGACTTAATCTGCAACTACTTCATCGTGTGAGGGTTTTGTTAATTAACCACAATTCTCCCTTACAAGGGAATATCGGTTACTGTGTACAAAAAGTTGTATTGTTCTTGGTGCTATTCGGTACAGAACCCCAACTTCCTGTTGCTAAGTGATCTGTTTTCTTGCAAAATCAGTTTGGGCCGAGTAATGGTCATTCAAAGTTTCCGTCTTTGTGTGTGGTGCGCACAGCGGTGTTAATCATATTTTTATTTTTTAGGCCAGGCGGTGCGTAAGTTGTCCTATAGCTCCAGACTAGCGGCCACACTTTGAATGGATATAACTCGATCCATATCATAGGAAGTCGGGTGTCCTCTATCGAATGGTATCAAAATATTATCATATTCGCACTCACAGTAACCGATGTTCCCTTTTAAATATTTAAATGTTAACATTTCATTTCCGCTTGGAAATAAATTCAAAATTTACGTTTTATAGAGTGCACGTCATGCAGACAATAATGATTTGTCTCATCAGTCTGCAACTATTGAAAGTTCACTGAAACGTCAATCTTTACCAATTATTTATGGAACTAGAAAGAGGGTAATAATTTAAATTTAAAATTTTTTTTAAATATTTTTTAGCAATTTTTTGACGATCCTCCTGTTACAATTAAACGAACTATCGGAAGTAATTCTTTAACAAATGAATCCCATATGTCGCTAGCTGCTAAACAGCCTCGATTTTCTTTTGTTTCGGTATTTTTTAAAAATAATTGAAAAATATTTTTAATTTATTTTTATGCTGTTTCGAATGCTAGATTTAGTATTCCTTTATCTGACCGTTATGAGTCAGAAATGATACCAACTGTTAGTCCTTTGGAAAAGGAGAGCAAAGTTTGTTATTTTTAAATATTTTTTAAATTAAATTTTGTTTAAAGTTTTTGGCATTTGAAATGCGACAAGAAACAAATTTTATTAATTCTTTGGATGATCCAATAAATGTTAATTTAAATCATTCTAAGAGACTTTTGAATGCAGGTATTTATTTTTAAAAATATTTTTTAATATATAATTTTTTAGAAATTAGTAGATTGGAAGAATCTTATAATACTGAATGGTTAGAATTGGACAATAAAAGAATTAAAATTTGTCGTTATGTTTTGGTACCTACTTATCGATATCCGAAAGTATTTTTAAATTTTTATTTCTAAAATTTCTTTCTTTTAAAGATTAATTTTGTTGGACGTTTAATTGGTGTTAAAGGATTGACTTTACAAAAAATTTGTAAAAAATATAAATGTTCTTTGTCCATTCAAGGAGCACATTCTACAAAGGATCGTACACAGGTTTTTCTTTTAATTTATTAAAAATTACAAAAAAAACTTTTAGGAAATTGAATTGCTTACTTCTGGTGACCCTCGTTATGCACATTTTGCTGGACCGTAAATATATTTTTATTTAAATTTTAAATAAATTTTTGAAAATAAGTTTGCATGTTCGAGTTGATGTTTATTCTGTTCCGCATATTGCCCATATGCGAATGGCCGCAGTTTTGAATTTACTTCATAAGGCGTTTATTCCCGTAATTTAATTTTAATTTTTAAAAATTAAAAAAAAAGTAATAAATTATAGTAATATAAAATTTAAAAGAAATAATTGAAATTTAGAAAAATTAATCAAAAATTTAAAAACCTAAAAGAATAATAAAAATTCTTTATAAGAAATTTAAAGAATTGGAGAAATAAATTTAAATAAAATTAATTTAATTTAAATAAATAATAAAAATATGTCATAATTTAAAAATAAATATTGGACCATCTGTGTAATTAAGGGCAATGATTTTGATTTGGAAGCATTTTTGGAAGATGTAGATTTACAGCAGAATAAAGGTTTTTAAAATTAAAAAGAATAACGTTTAAATAATTATACATACTTAAATTAACAAAATAAAATAATGAAATAAAGTCTAAAATTGTTATAAATAATAAATGGATTATTAACAAATAATTTTGATAAAAATAATATAAGAGATAAAAACAAAAATGTAACAAAAAATCTTTTAAAAAATTTTAAAAATAACAAAATTTTTATATTGAATTTTAACAATTTTTAGATAAAAATAATAGAATAAAAAATATTTTTATAATTTAAATGTCATTTTAACACATTTAATTTTAATTAATTAAAAGTTAAATATTAAAATATATGTATTAGACTATAAAGGATCTCCGGCAGCAACTGAGGCCGAAATTAATAGACGTTATGATGTTGAGGCAGCCAATTTGAAAGGAGACTTTGAAGAAATTAAAAAATATGAAAAACATCAATGTAATATCCTTTTAAAAATTAAAAAAATTGTTTTCCATTTTAGCTCCAAAAATCTATAAAAAACCAAATTTAATTGAAAATTCTGTGGAGGAATTAAATTCTAATGATAATATTCCAACACAATCTTCTGACATTATTGGTGGAAATAAAAATAATATTGGAATGTTTTTTCCACGAAAATTGACTCCAAATGAAAAAAACAAATTGGACGTTAGTTTGGGACGAATTCGAAAAGAGGCAAATATTCGACAAGAAAATAAGTAAAAAAATTCAATTTTAAAATTCTTTAATTTTTAAATTAGCAATAACACTCAAACTGTTGTTTATAATATTGACGATGACGATGATGACAGCAGTGTTTTTCAGTAGAAATAAGAAAATTGACCAGAAGAAAGGCTTTTAAGTTTGAATCTTATATTTTAAATTTATTTAATATTTTTGGTTTTGTTAAGAAATTAGTATTTTTAACTACTATATTTTAAAGATAAAAACAATTTGACTTTATAATAATGATATATTCAAATAAAATATTTAATGCTTGACTTAAATATGTATTTTTATCTACATATGAACTAATATAGATTCCCATAAAGTTCGAAAAGAGGCAAATATTCGTACAAAAAAGTTGGACAGGAGTAATAATTTATAAAAAAAACTTCATTTGTTTGAGAATTTATCAAAAATTTTTAGGCATAAAATTTTTTGAGGAAATTTTTAGGAGCAATGGGAACAAAAACTAATCGGAAGGGGGAAAAGTTTCAACAAATTAATATAACAGAGAAGCTAAAATTATTTTTCTATCGTTGCCTTTCCAATTGTCTAAGTACACTGTTGACTAGACAATCATGTATTTGACCACGTTGAGGAAGGAGCTGCCGAATCTATAAAAAATGATTTTATAACAATAATTTTTAAAAATAAGCACATTTTCAATTGCTGCCTCCCCGTGTTGCCTTGCCAATTCTCTAGAATTTTGTAATCCATTTGAGCGTTTAACTAATTCAAGTGCTTTTTCAACATCTCCAGGCTGGGAGAATCGCCGTTCAATAAGTGGATCTAATTCAGGGAATTCATCTGCAGCAAAAAGAACCTTTAAAAAATTAAAAATTTTGTTAAAAATTTAAGAAAAGAAAAAATTAACTGGACAAGTTGCTAATCCCAAACGAAGATCAGAAGCTGTAGGTTTACCCAGTTCGGATGCGGAGGCAACATAATCAAGGACGTCATCAATTAATTGGAAGGCTAGACCCAAATTACGTCCAAATTCACTAGCTAAATGTTGGGTAGATTCTGAACATCCTTTAATTTAAAAAATAATTAAAATTATTTAACAAAAAATATTCTTTTTACCAGAAAGCATTGCAGCAGATTTACAACTATTTGAAAATAAACTGCCTGTTTTATAAAAAGTTTTTGTCATATAATGTTTGAAACGAGCATTTTTTGATTGAGCTAAAATAATTTTTAATTAAAAAAATATTTTCTAAATTTTCTTACGTGGAGAGTTTAATTGTAACAATTCTCCTTTAACTAAATCCTCAACAATTACTGCCATTGTTTCAATTACTTGTGGTTGTCCAATGCTGCAAAGAACTTTTGTGGCACGTGCAAGAATAAAATCCCCAATAAGAATTGCCTTAAAAAATAATATTAAAAAAAAAAGAAAATCTTTTCTTTAACTCTTTTATTTCCCCAACGAGCATTTGTCGTTGGCTGCCCCCGTCTTGTATTGGATTCATCAATTACATCGTCATGAACCTATTTTTAAGATTTAAATTTTATTAAAAAATTATTATAAAAACCAAAGTAGCACTATGAATCATTTCAGCAACAATTGCAATTCTATATTGGTTTAGACTAATATCAGCTATAGAATTTGTTGAAGAAGCTCTAAAAAATTAAACCTTTAAAAAATATTTTTTTCAAAATTTTAACATTTGTTGATTACAAGCAGCACTCATAAGCAAAGAAATTGTAGGCCGAATCATTTTTCCTCCCTTGTCAAAATAATATCTAGACATTTCACGTAATTCTTTTGTAAATTTAAATGGATTGTCTGTATATGTTGCCAATCCATTCACCATTGTCCGTTCCATTAATGATTCGAGAATGTCATCCTTTTTAAAAGTTAAAACATTATTTTTATAACTATAAACTAACTTTCAGTGAACCAAGCATCTTCGTAACTTCATTTGGAAGCTCGACTGGATGTTGTTGCTGAGATTCCACAACTGCTTCTTTAAAGAAATTATTTAAATTAAACCCCAATCAAAAAATATTTTTACCAAAAATTTGTGGAGAAAAGCTTCGTTTGAAAGGACTAAAATTTCTAATAAATCTTGGCAGAATATACATTCAATAAATTTGTATATGTAAACCTGTTTAAAACAAAATAAATAAAAACAAAATTAGAAATTATTCAAAAATAATCAAGTTGTAAAAAGCATAAAAATTTAAATAAAAAACAAAATTTAAAGAAAGATTTAACGAATATACTATGTAAGAAAACCAAAAAATTTAACAAAAAAAATTAAATAAATCAAACCTTTATAAGAAGATGAAAAGAAAATTCTAAAATTTTTGCTTGAATTTTCCTATTTTTGAGAGTACCTCTTTTGGGCTCTCACAATCAGAAATTTATGTCCCTCATAAAGGTTTGACTATAATAGCAGAAAAGGATTCCATGAAATAACAAGAATATGTATTTATATGGCAATAAATAAAGAACTAGATCAGAGTATTTTTCGTTGGAAATTGTTAATTTTTAAATAAATTATTCTAGATTATGACTAGGAGAATTTCTGAATTACAAGAACAATAGTAAAAAAAGAAGTGTGTATTTTTGAGTTTTAAACCTAAAGGAGAATTTAAAAAAACAAAGAAAGAAATTAAGAGAAAACTTTTCTTGATAAATCAATGAATAGTCCAGACATATTCCAAAAAAGAAAATTAAAAAAACTCGATCCCTGCAATATAGTTAAAGCCAACAAATTTAAAGCTCTGTCTTGTCCGAAAAAGAGTAACTTAAATAAATATCCTTTATTAGGGATTATAAAATAAAAAGTAAACCGAGTCTCCGCAGGTTTAAGCTGTTTAAAGACAGAAGATGGTGGTTGAGTTATTTTTCCATCAGAAGGCGATTCTGGTGTAGTATCTGGTCCTTGATGAAATTCACGATGAAGTTTCTTTAAAAATTATGAAAATAAATTTATTTTACATATATGCTCACCCCAGAATTTAAATCCAAAACAAATTGACGTAATTTGCCTTGCTCGCTAAAGAATTAAATAAAAATTTAAAAAAATTTTGATTTACCCAAGCTGTTTAAAATTCGAAAATAAATACATATGTCTAAATGAATCTATAGCAATTAATGGCAAATCTTTTTCAGATTTCCCCAAATGTTGAAGTGGATGTGCAAATCTTTTTCCGTCAGCAACCAAAAAATTTATTGAATCTAAAAAATAATTTGTTTATAAAAAATTAAATTATTTTTTAAATTTACTTTTTTGATCAAACAATTCTTTTGTTACAATAGAATTAAATAGCTTTTCTGATTCAATATCATCGCTTTGACGGAAGAGAATCAAAAATGGAAGCCCTTCTTCTGTTAACTCTTCTGCATTCTCAAAAGTTATTTCTCTAACCAACGGGACACATTTGTCTGTTAACCAATTTCTAAAATTAAAATAAAAAATAAATTTAAAAATTATTAAGTACTTAAGATAATCATAATCATCCGATGGACCAGTGTATTCAAAATTTCCCTCTGCCGCTTTCTAAAATTCAGAATTTATTGAATCTAAAAAAATTAAAACATTTGGTTCGCGAAAATAAATTGTTGCATTCCTATGCATTTGTTCTTCCCGCTGCAAAATCCAATCACCAGAACCAAGCCAAAACCCACAATCTTCACGAAGAGATGAAGCTGACTTGTAATAATTTGAATGTAAAGGTTGTACTTGGTCATCGAGAATATAGGCAATTACATTGCGTTTGGCGCTCTAATATAATTATATTAAAACAAAGCTAAACAATATATAAACAATATATACTTCAATTCTAGATGACAATTCTTCTTCAGAATTGAATAATTGCACTGGAGACTCCAATTGTTTACGAATAAATGCTTCAATGGCCTCAGCAGATCGTTGAGATCTCAAAAATAAATTAGGGATAAAGAAAAAATTTTAAATTAAACAAAACCTGTATTCCTTTTTTATGAGATCTCCATGTCGAAAAAGTTTAATCGTTGGGTATTTATTCACGTTAAATTTATGAGCAATACTTGCTGAAAAATAGGAATAAATTGTTAAAATGGATAGGATTACGTTCTTTATCACAATCTACTGCAGCAAATAAAACTTCAGGTTTATCCTATAAATTTAAATTTATCGAAATTCAGAATTTGTGATAATTTTAAGGAAAACCACCTTAAGTCTATCGCTTGCTTGCAAAAAGGTTGGCTTTAATTGTTGTGAAAATCGGCACCAATCGGCATAGAAATTTACAAGAACCAACTCCCTCTTTAATGCTTCTTCAATGTTACTACTATCCATTTGTAACACATCCTCGCGCGAATATGCCGTTAAAAGTAACTAAAATAATTTAAATTAGAATTGAAATCTGATAAAATAAACAAACAATCAACAAAAACAGCCTCATATGGCCAAAGTATCATGCGAATTCCAGTGACGTTCCTTTAAAAAAATTTAACTCATTTATTCTTAAATTCGCAAATTTAAACAAAAATAACCAGATTCATCATCCAATAATGAATTAAACAAAAAAATCTTCTAAAATAATATTTATTCAATAAAACATTAAATAAAAATAAGTTAACGAAAAGAAGTACTCTGCATTGAAGTTGAAGGAGAACAAAAATTATCATAATCACATTTAGGAATAGTGCAGGGAACATTTAAAAAGTTATCAAAATTATCATAAACAATTCTAGTATCAAAATGAAGAAAATTAACATATCCTTGAATATGATGAGAAAGAATATCTAAGGTATTTAGAATATCTTGATCAGCTTCATAAGAAGCTTCACGAAGAGTTAAGGCAACAAGCTCTTCACGAACAGCATTTTTCTTATGTCTTTTTTGTTTGTTTGTTAAAGCAGAACGAGCAGCATCATGTTGCTTTTCAAAATCGTCCCAAAACGCTAACAAATAATCTGGCAACAAAGGCTGGGTCTAAAATATTTTAAATAATCAATTTATAAAAAATATAATTCTATTTACCTTAAACTGAAAATATGTAGACTCTGTAGCATAATTTGTTGTAGCCAATGCAGACAAAGTTCTATCATGAATATTCCAAAACTTCAGCTAGTAAGTAGCTTGGAGGATTGGTACGAAGCCTTATTTGAAAAAAAGAATATAGATTGTATTTATATTGATTTTTGTAAAGCTTTCGATAGTGTTCCTCACAAACTCCTTCTTGACAAATTATATGCCTGTGGAATTAGGGGAAAACTACATAGGTGGATTAGTGAATTTTTATCAAATAGAACATATCAAGTAAAAATTAATGATGTTTTATCAAACCCATATGGAATTACCACGGGTGTTCCCCAAGGATCCATTATTGGCCCACTAATGTTTCTAATCTATATAAATGACTTATCCGACGTTATTCCAAACGGAGTCAAAATTAAACTATTTGCTGATGACGTTAAAATCTATAAAGTTTATAAGACTAAAAATGAAAGATTAGAACTAGCAGTTGCCCTTAAAAACGTCGAGGAATGGTCAAAAAAATGGAATTTAGATATATCAGTTGATAAGACATTCGTACTTCATTTAGGTAAAGATAACCCAAGGGATCAATATAAGATTTTTAATAATACTATAAATGAAGTTCAATCTATTCGCGACCTTGGAATAATCATAGACGACAAGCTTAGGTTTAAAGAACACATTAATATAATTATTCGCAACGCCTATCTAAGGATGAAAACAATTTTTAGAATAATAAAGTCAAGAAAAACATCAACTTGGATACTGATATATAAGAGTTATATTAGGCCTATGCTTGAATACGCACCGGAATCTTGGAACACTCTTTACAAAACAGAAATTAATTCTCTTGAAAAATGCCAAAAATTTTTTACTAAAAAAGTTTTTAAAAAATGTAATTTACCCGAACTACCCTATGAGAATAGGTTGGAATATCTAAACCTTCAAACACTTGAGAATAGACGTAAAATTTTTGATTTAATGCTTATGTATAAAATAGTTAATGGTTATTCTCACCTGGGACTTGAAACACTCTTTTCTCATCCTATTAAGAAATCTAGCCATTCTTCTCATAGAATTATTTCAAAAAAACAAAATTCTAAAAGTTCTAGATCATTTATAAATAGAACAACTAAAATGTGGAATATACTAGGTAAAAATACTATTTTAAGTAAATCACCCTTAGATTTTAAAAATAAGCTTAAGTCAATACTTATTGTATAAATAAACTGAGTGTTCTTAAAAAAAAATTAATTAAACTCATCCAGGCTATCTAAAAAAATCTAAAAAAATCCAAAGTTAAAAACTGTATTTTTTTGCTAAATGGGCTTTGCATCTAAGTGGCCAAATTAAATTACCTTGCGACTAAATGGTCAATTAATTTTTATACTTTCGCGTCTAAATGGTCAAATTAATTTATTTTTATTTTCGCGCCTAAATATTCAAATTAATTTATTTTTTTTTTTGCGCCTAAGTGGGCTTGGCGTCAAAGTGGCCTAATCGATTTATTCCTTATGCTGTTGTTTGTACTTTTTTATACTCTAGCATTTCTTAGTTGTTTGGATTTTTAATTAAAAAAATTTTTTTATTTTAGACTGAAATAATCTTAAAATTAAATTTACTATAATTTATTTTGCTGTTTTTTTCAGGTTTTTTTTTTATTTTTTTTTTTTATTATATGTTTTATTTAAATTAATACACAGATATACATCTAGGCTAGATAATCTTAAAATTAAATTTACTATAATTTATTTTGCTGTTTTTTTCAGACTTGCATGCCTGGTGTGAAACGTAACCCAGTTCATTTCTCTCCAGTGCAATTTGACAATTAACTTAGTCGTATATCTGTGTATATCAATATCCCTTCATTATGATTATTTTTGTTGAATATTCAGTTAATTTATTACCATTGACCAAATATATATTTTATTAAGACAATGATGTAAGTGTCCATCCCTTTCATTGTCATTTTTATATTGAATAAATAAATTAAATGCTTCTTCAATGTTACTACTATCCATTTGTAACACATCCTCGCGCGAATATGCCGTTAAAAGTAACTAAAATAATTTAAATTAGAATTGAAATCTGATAAAATAAACAAACAATCAACAAAAACAGCCTCATATGGCCAAAGTATCATGCGAATTCCAGTGACGTTCCTTTAAAAAAATTTAACTCATTTATTCTTAAATTCGCAAATTTAAACAAAAATAACCAGATTCATCATCCAATAATGAATTAAACAAAAAAATCTTCTAAAATAATATTTATTCAATAAAACATTAAATAAAAATAAGTTAACGAAAAGAAGTACTCTGCATTGAAGTTGAAGGAGAACAAAAATTATCATAATCACATTTAGGAATAGTGCAGGGAACATTTAAAAAGTTATCAAAATTATCATAAACAATTCTAGTATCAAAATGAAGAAAATTAACATATCCTTGAATATGATGAGAAAGAATATCTAAGGTATTTAGAATATCTTGATCAGCTTCATAAGAAGCTTCACGAAGAGTTAAGGCAACAAGCTCTTCACGAACAGCATTTTTCTTATGTCTTTTTTGTTTGTTTGTTAAAGCAGAACGAGCAGCATCATGTTGCTTTTCAAAATCGTCCCAAAACGCTAACAAATAATCTGGCAACAAAGGCTGGGTCTAAAATATTTTAAATAATCAATTTATAAAAAATATAATTCTATTTACCTTAAACTGAAAATATGTAGACTCTGTAGCATAATTTGTTGTAGCCAATGCAGACAAAGTTCTATCATGAATATTCCAAAACTCTATTGGACAATAAGGCCTATGACTCATTGGTTGTAAACTCATTGGTAATGATATATTTGTTACAACAACTGCAGAATGCGAAGGCTGATCCGTTTCATAATGAGGTTGAGATGCATAAACATGTTCAACATGACTAACATTCCCATCTCCTGATAAGGAAAGAACAAAGAAATAAAAAAAGAAAAATATTGAATAAAAACCTTCATAAGCAACAGTTTGTTCAACTTGCATTAAATTATCTTCAAAATTAGGTCCAAATGCCAATGCCTTCATTTTAAATTCATAGTCGGTCAGTCCAATATATGTTCGTTTAAAGAAATAAATAAATTCTGCTAATTCATGAATTGATGCGAGCTCAGCGATAATATAAAAAGCACGAATGACATGTTCAGCAGGAATGAGTGCCAAGCAGAGAAGCCGACTAAAAATGAAAAGAAAGTTAAAAGAATTCTTAAAATTCTAACCGAAAAGTCATTCTAGCAACATTGCCTTCTTGACCTTTTTCATTCCCATAAAGAGTACCAAGTTTTAATTCTCTCCATTTTCGGAACAAAGCTTGAGCAAAACGAAGGTAGCTGCCACTGCATATGGCTTCCGGAAAAACATTCTGAGCAGCACATACCATCTCATTGTCGTAATCCAAAATAACTAAAAAGTAACAAAACACAAAACAATAATAATTGATTTAAAAAGGAAATATACAACTTACTTTTACGTGGTTTTGTTGGCTCAATTGAATTAGCAATCACGTCTAAAGCTTCCTCATAATAACTCGACGTGTCACCTTGCAAAAGAGCACGTGCCGCAAAAATGACACGATTTCGAACAATAGCGCCAATAACAAAAGATTGCCTAAATTGTTTAGGTGCAGAGTTGGGTGAACCACTCATTGTCCAAGATGGATGTATGGCAAGTTGTTGTAACATCTAATTGGCAAAAGTTTGTAAAATAAATATAGAAACAAACATATGGATGGGCAAACACAAGCACAGTCTGTTGATCATTTGGTCGATGTATTCTCGAATCATAAAGTAATATAGAATGGCCATTCCTTTCAACTAACATTAGTGGTATCTTTATGGAAGAAACTTCTACTTTTCCACCAACCCTTCCAAATAGCTTAGTTCTTGCCCTATTTAAAAATAACGTATTAAAAAAATACAGAAAAATACCTATAAGTCATAAGCCCCAATGCATTGTCAGTGCCCATAGCAACGAATGTCTCATCATCAACTTCAGAACGTACATTAGCAATAAGTCTACTTCGCACCGCATTTGGTTCTTCTAAGGCACGCTGCTTTAATTCGTATCGTTTCAGTTCAGCTTGTCGACGTTCTGGTTGCGGAAAATGTGTATGCTCTAACTTTGTTTTACCCAAAATTCTCCCATCTTCTTGCACGCGCGCAATCGCTTTTGCTGGACATCGTCGATCGGAGCAACGCCAGTAAGGTCCTTTAAGTTTCGAGTAACGATACCCTTCAAAGATGATTAATTTTTAAAAGCAAATTTAAATTTAATTAAACCTTCATGCCAAATGCAAAGATTTCCGAAATTAGTAACTCCTCGCAAAAATTCTACAAGTTCACCTTGAACAGAATTTTCTGGCGGCAATTCATTTCCTTCCTGAATATGCAACAGGTGACTATCGTCTAAGACAACTTCAACATTACATTCTTCATCCTCAATTACTTGCTGTTTTGGTTGTTTAAGATGTGTTTGTTGTTGATCCAACTCATTGTCTGGATGAATATTAACATTTAAATGAGAATCCATTACTAAAATCTTGAAAATTAATACAGAACAAAATTTACAAATAGAAATGATTAATAGAAAAATATTTCAAATTATTTACACAGCCAAGTTTTATCTTGACAAACTTTCTTTTTGTCAACAAATGAACAGAACATTGCTGTTGAACAGAATGAAAGTGCCTTGCGCCTAAATGGGGCTTTGTAAAAACTAGTATGCGCCTAAATGGTCTCATTACGTTTCCGTATCGGATTTCTTATTTGGTCGTCCTGTTATCCCTTATATTATAACAATTGGAATTTATATTTTATTTTTAAGATTGAATATAATCTTAAAAAATGCGGCATCCGCGACCCCCCAATTCTTCTTACAATAATAATCGACAACATAATTTTCCTGTAATGACTTATAAGCCGTATCTTTTGAAGGAAGATGATGAACGTAAAATTCCTGCATTTCTTGTAAAACTATGGAACATTGTTGAAGGTCAAGCATACAAAGACATTGTTTGCTGGGATGAGGTTTTTTGGAATATTTGCAGATTTTTTTATCATTTAATATTTCAGTCCGGCCGTAGCTTTCACATAATGGATCCTTATGCATTCTGCAGCAACGTCCTTCCTCAGTATTTCAAACATAAGAATCTAAATAGTCTTGTACGCCAATTGAATATGTGTATGTTTATTTATTTCGTTAATGTTTTTAAGAGTAAAAATTATTATAATTGTAGTATTTTGAGTGTTTTTTAGATGGTTTCCGAAAGAACACACCAATTGATCGTTCTGGACTGGCTCGTGCTGAATCTGACCAAGATCACTTAGAGTTTGCTCACCCTTATTTTCGTCGTGACCACCCACATTTTCTTGTGAATATTAAAAGAAAAGCACCTGGAGGAAAGAATTCCCCAACTTCTAATCAACATAAATATAACAGTAATTCTATTCCAATGGAAGTTGCGGATGGTGGAGTTGGACAAAACTCATTTGATATGAATGAAATTCTTGAAGAGTTGGGAACGTTGCGTGAACGTCAGCATCATATGGAAATTCGAATTGAGGAGTTAACCAAGTATTTTGAATTTTTTTTAATACTTAAGTTATTCTTTTTAATTTTAGAGAAAATGAGATGCTTTGGAATGAAATGGCTCATGTTCGCGTGAGACCTTTAATATTTTCACATTTTTTAAAATTTTAATCTTGTCTAATTTTCTTAGGGAACACATTTGAAGCAACAACAGTTGGTAAATAAATTAATTCAGTTCCTTGTTGCGTTAGTAGGACCAAATGGAAAACAATCTAATCGACTTGGAAAACGTCTAATGTTTGTCCTCAAGTGTTTTTTGAATTCTATTTGTTCTTTTAGTTCTGAACGTTCTGTTAATCACACCGGTGAATCTTCTAATAATGCAATTGGGCAACTCCAGTCTATCTTACCTGTTAACGCTTCGGAGATATTAGATCGTCTCATCAATGAAATTACATCTGGGGATGGGACAGGTTTTAGTTCGTCAGCCGGAAATTTGGTAAATTATTCTATCTTCAATAAATGTTTGTTTTTTAAAAAGATTTTTGGTCGTTCTCCTCATAAACAAGGAATGAAACATCAATATGATCAATTCAATCATCACATCCCTACTGAACTTGATGCAATAGATAATCTTTTGATGGATAACAATGGCAGAAATAATCAACAAATTCAACCTTATACTGGCAAAGGAATAAAAACTATGAACGAAGAAAGAGAAAGTTTACGTTCTGATCGTTCAGTTTCTGGATGTTCTGATGGTCCAATAATTGCTGAAGTGATTGAGGTTATCTGTTTAAATTTTATTGCAAGGTTTATACTCTTAAATTTTATCTTAGGATTTGGATGGCGTTAATTCTATTGCTGACACATCTACGAATAATGGCATAAATACTGGCTATATTTATCAGCCTCAACAACAAATAATTAATAATGAAGCAAAATCTCCTCATATTGCTTCTCCTCTTATTGAACAACGACATTTTGGCAATAACCAACAAATTCAACAACAACATATTTTGCCATCACAGAATAACTGTTTTCAACCAAATAATACAACAACTAATGGTTATGTTCGAGAACAAAAGAGACTTATATTTCCTGGACAGGTATTTTTTATTTTTATATTTCTTTAATTATATATCTTACTTTATAAGGAACAACAACAAATTCTATACAATCAACAAAATCAGGCGATGCCTGTTTATCAACCTCAAATCCCCTTCACTACTATCAATCCAAATCAACAACAACAAACAAATAATTTTCGACCTCCACCTTCGAATTCTGTCAGACCTCAAAAACTACAACAGAACCAGGAAGAGCAGCGTTTCATTCAGCAGCAGGAAGTACCACGACAATGTCCGACAGCACCTCCACAGGGATTATATATGCGTACTTCTTCGTCAGTTGCACCAAACGAACAGGAACAGGTCTAACATCTTTATATTTTTTCTAGTTTTGACATTTTTAGGTGTCACAATTTATACAACAACAGCCATTTGACGCTGTTAATTATAATACTATTAATAGTCATAGCAGTTCAGTTCTGCACACTCCTACGGCCTCTGTTCCCGCATTCACTACAGATGGAATGATGTTGAATGATGAAGAAATTGCTTCAATTGCTGGTTTAAATGCGTACTTGGACAATGGTAGGGTTTACGAAGATAATTTTACGAATAATAAAAATTTTATGATACAAAAATTTAGATGACGCAACTGCAGGTCGCTTCAATTTCTCAGATTCAATGGGTGAGCATTGGAATAACGTAGATGAAGAAGAATTCCGAGAGCTTCTCAACTATGGAAATCCGACAGAGAATGTAACCGATTTAAACAAAATGGACGTTTGAATAGGTAAAAATTACTGGTCATTTTGAAGAATGAAAATCTCTCCACAGGCGATCCACAAGAATTCATGCCCCTCAATCTCTCAAACACAACTAAAATCAAAACCATACAATTTAGTCGAATTTGGAATTTCCTGTGATCGCTTTTGGTTTTGATTGAATAAATTTATTCTGTGACCTTTTTAAAAGCTGTTAAACATTACATATATTATAACAAATAGACTTAATCTAAATTTATAATCTAAAAACATTTCATTCTATTGTCGTTTTAAACCTTTTGTCTTGAAATACATATTAAGAATTGCAGCAAAGATTTTGCATTTTATTGTATTTTCACTATTTTTTTAGATTAAAATTTATCACTAATTAAAAAAATTGTTCAATATAAGTAGAATAAGAGCTTAGAAAATGAAATTTTTGTTAAAAAATGAAAATTTAGTTCCCAAACTCTTAAAGCAAAAACCATAAAATAACATTATATTTACTTAAAAAAGTAATCGTATATATAAAATAAAAAATAATTCTTATCAAAAGATATTAATTAATGTGGAGGTTCAATATGTAAGGGTTGCCGTTGACGTTCTTGTTTTGGAAACTGTCCCATCATTCGATTCTGTTGCTGGTCAGTAACGAAAAATACCTAGTGGATTGATATTAACTGAAATTTTATAAGCTTCAAAAAACTTACAGGCTCTGTCGGCTGTCTCGGATGAGGATAATTTTGCTGTTGTCCCATAAGAGGCGGAGGAGCCATTGCAATTTGCTGTGGTGGCTGGCGATATATCTGTTGCTGTTGTTGAGGCTGATAATGTTGCACAATAGGTTGTTGAATTGGTATTTGGGGAGGAGGAACTTGGCTCATATTGCTGTTGTAGTTGTTATCTCCCCCAGCATATTGTGGCATTACCTGTTGTTGAGGTAAAGGTGCTGCACGGGAAGGCACCGAACCTTGGAAATTACCGCGTTGACTGCCACCCTTCAAGTTTAATATTTATCATTCTAACTTATAACATAATATACCCCAAATCCACCTCCACCTCGTCCTCCACGTGTTGGGGCCTGATAATTAACGTGTGCCTGTTGATTGTATTGTTGTTGTGGTGGTACAATAGGAGATTGAACATTTGCTTCTTGATGAAAATTACCTCGATGGCTGCCACCCTAAAAATTAAATAATAAAAAATGTCTCTCATTGACAAACTTATTACCCCAAAACCACCTCCTCCCCCTCGTCCTCCGCGCATTGGCACTTTGATATTCTGATTAGGCGGTGGTTGATTGTATTGATGTTGCGAATTATGTTGCTGGTTATATTCTTGCGATTGGAATTGTTGTGTATCTCCAACAAAAAAACTTTCTTCTCGCTGTGACTCTCCTCCTGCAAAACGTCCTCCTTCATGATGTCCTCGTTGTGAATCTCCTCCAAAAGTACGTGCTCGCTGTGATCCACCTCCCGCAAATCGACCTTCTCTCTGTGAATCACCTCTAGAAAATCGACCTCTCTGCGAATCCTCTCCAGCGAAACGACCTTCTCGATGGGAATCTCTTTCATTGTCCGCAAATCGTCCTTCACGATGAACAGTCTGCTAATGTAAGAATAAGTTTAATAAACATTCCCGTATCTTTGTGAACTAAAGATATGTTAAGGTTTCAAAAGTGGTACAAAAATATCCACAAAGCGATTAACTGAAATTATCATAGATCTACTCAATAACAAGGCCATATTCAAGTCGGCTTTAGGAAACCAGCCTTCCGAATACGCCCATGCTCAATACTAGTAAATCATGATTTACAACCCAAAAATAACCGTTTAATTATTAAATTATTTAAAGGAATAGGAATAATTTAAATAACAGAATACTTGAAATCCTCTGCCTCCCTCTCGTCCTCCACGCATTGTTCCTCTGACATTTTGATTAATACGAGGTGATGATTGGTTATATTGTTTTTGTTGATTATAATGTTGATTATCTTGTTGTTGTTGGGATTCTCCTCTAGAGAAACGTCCTTCTCTTTGTGTTTCTCCAGAAAAACGTCCTTCACGTTGAAACGGTTGCTACAAATAAAAAAAAGCTTTATAAACAGGAAAAAAAAAGTATAGCTTTATTACATTGTTTGACATAGGACGACCATCACGAGAACCAACATTAGTGCCACCACCATTTCTACCGAGTCCATAAGCACGTCCACGTTCTCCATGCGCTCCACTATTTCGAATCTATCGAAAATCAATGTAAAAATAAGAATAAAAAAAATAAAATTTACAACACGACCGCCACTTCCACTAAATTGTTGTGATTGTCTTTCTTGTTGTTTTCCTTCTTCTTGTCCTTCCTGTCTTCCATCCCTTTCTTTTGGATAAGAAAATTGTTGTTGTTGTACAAGTTGTCGCCGATTTGTTACAACTAAACCTCTTCCTCTTGAACGTCTTACTCCTCCACCACCTCTATCTCTTGCTCCTCGAGTCCGTTGTCGACTTTGATCAGTATTTTGAATATTTTGTTGTTCATTTCCATCATCATCGTCCTCATTAACACGTCGAATATCACGTCCATAACGGCGAATCTAAACAAAATGTGAAAAAAACATTTTTAATAAAGGATATACCAATTCCCCTCTGCCTTTAGGACCTTGTGCACGTTCATCAAACATGTCATGTTTCCATTCTAAAGATAACAATAAACAATAAAATTTATTTAAATTAAAAATTACTATTGACGCGTTCCGCCCTTGTTTTTGGCATGTCATCTTCACATTTTGTTACAGCTGATATACCTTCTGTATCTTCCTCTTCTTCTTCGTCCTCAGAAGGATTAAACACACGGCTACGACGAGCCGGAGGAACAGACCGGTCAATATCGTGCATGTAGAATTTACCTAACATTTTATAGAAAAATCATTGAAGGAGCAAACAAAATCATCAGTTGAAAAACAAAAAGTTGCGCTTACTCCATTCAATTAAACAAAAAAATATTAAAATTTAACCATGTTTTGGAATGTAGGCTGGATTTTCTACAATCTCATCATCATCCAATTCTTTCTTCCCCTCCCCATCCTCTTCTTCCTGCTCATCGCATTCTTCATCTTCCTGCTCATCATCAAACTCTTCATCCCCTAGTTGTTCATCCTCTTCTCGTCCATCACCAGCATCTTCCCATTCTTCCTCATCGTCCTGATCTTCCTCAACAATTTGACGGTCATTCCCTTCTTCTTTTTCAATTTGTTGAGGTTTTTCTAATCCATCTTCTTTTTGTTTTTTAATTAATTGTGTCTGCTCTTTGTGTTGAGAATCATTGTCTTCCTCTAAAGAAATTACTTTTTGAACGAGCTCATCCAAAATCTCTTTTTCAACTCGATAATCAACTTTACTTTGTGGATCATCTTCCATTTAAATTTTTTTAGAATTAACAAATTTATCTAAATAAAAAATTGTACAATCGAAATAAACGACATTCGAATTGCAAAAAATCAACTTTCAAGGACTTGAAAAATATTTGAAAATTTCGGTAAAAGTTAAGATCTTATTTCGCATTTTTATTTTTCCTAGAGTTCGAGACCAAAATTTTACAAGATTCGAGAACAAAACTCTAATGTAAGACTCAAAACTAAACAATTACAAGACTCAAGACAGAATTTCTTGGTCAAACAAGGCAATTTTTTGGGAGAATGGGTTAATAAAAAACATGGTGAAACAGTACAAATCTAGGAAAAATGCAGGGATTCTTATAACCTCTCTCACTTTAGCGCGTTAAACTCGTTTTAGCGTCATAGGCAAAAATTTTGAAAATATAAGTCACCATAGGCATGGAAAATTTAATTTTATTTGGCCCACAGGCGAAATTTTTCTCCTACCCCAATTAGGGTATATTTAAAAATCGGAACTTATTTACTTTAACTACCCACCCCGAAATTTTGCCGGGTATATTTTGTATATGGCCAATTTATATATTATTCGAAAGAACTCGCCGAGCTGCATCGAAAGACACCAAAATCAACCCGCGGTCTCAAGTCTGAGCTGAGACAAATGGGCTCAAAATGGTCAGAGCAATCCTTGTGAAAACCCAGCGTTTCGTGAGGGTTTCGCGGCGCATGCTTCGTGTGGAGCTAAAGGTCGCTGCGTTCTACACTAGTAACATAAACCCATACCTTTTTTCCGATTTTCAGCCTTGAAATTCGGACCTACCCCCCTAGCCGCACAAAAGCAGTTATTCCAACGAAAATTTAGTTCCTCGCAATTTTTTTCAAAATCATCAAAACAAGCTGATTTTGTTACCATCTTACTCAGCTCGTCGAGCTCTTTCGATTAACATATGTATATATTGTCAAAATCTAATTGAAAAATCCCCCACTAAAATTTTGGGGTGGGTAGTTAAAGTAAATAAGTTCCTAAAAATCCTTAAAAGTCAACACAAAGTGATGTTTTAGTTTTTAGTTCCATTTTCTAAGAAATGAGACGTTTGCTATATGTAGTTTTTCCACATTCTTATGCAGAAAATTAAAAATTTTGAATGAGTTGCAAAAGAAAAAAAAGGAATTACGCCGTCTGGGAAAAATATATACTAATTTCAGAACTTGTAGATTCTGAGAAATTTACAAAACAATACTTTGGAGAAAGATAACAATACGCACAAATCAAAAGAACAAACAATTTATTACACAAACACACTACTTACAATATATTACAGCAATTATGTACATATGAACTATAACAATATTATCACAAATCTATCCTTCTTCAACTTCTTTTATTCACGACCATTCACGAATAATTGCTGCTTCGCGGGTCCTTGTTAACATCTGCGCCTTTTGGAAGTTTCCAGATGCTTGCGACCCCTTGACGCTTACGCTGATCACTCTTCTTGTCATCATCATTAGGGCTGACAGCTAAAAACGAGAAAAGATTTTTTTAGAAATAAATAAATAATGCCTTACAATCACTATTCCCAGTTTCAGTCATAGACAGGTTAGCAACTGGCAATGGTCTGGACTGCATAGGAGGCGTCACAGGAGTAGAAGGTTTTGTTGGCTCCCTTTCGATGACACTTGCTTGTGAGACACTAGAGAAGACCAGATCACTATCTTCATTGTTTGCCGGTAACGAGTCCTTTGATCCGCTACCTTTGACATTGCTAGCACTTTTCTTCTGCTGCTGCTGCGGTTGTTGTTGTTGTTCATCTCCTTTAGTCTTGCCCTCAGAGCTTTTGGTCTTAGCAGCGCCAGATTTCATCTAAATTGAGTAAAATGTACATATTGAAAACAAAACAAGAAAAAAATAATTCAAATTACCTTAGGAAGCGAAGAACGGCAAGCAGCAAACCAGCGACACTAATTGAATGTTGATAGTTAAAAACCCTTATAATTTACTCTTTTATAGTACAAATTTTCATACTACAGGGATATATTCCCACACACGGTCTTTTAGGGTATAATGAGAGTCAATTTATTATTTTAAAATAAAATTTAAAAATATAAAAATAAAAAAAAAACAAAAATAATTTTTTCTTTCTTTTCAATTCATTTTACTACCAAAGTTGACATTTTTGTTCATTATTATTCATCTTTGTTCCAGAACTGCATTCAAATGCTTTTGCAAATGCTTGAAAATTACTTAGAGGTAAATTAACTCTTGCTTTAGGGAAAGCATGATTATCTGTTTTTGCATAATTATTTTTATCTTCCTCAGTCATTACAGAACAATAAGTCTTTTTAAATTAAAAAAAATTTCATTTAATCTTTTTATTTTCTAAATACTTACAAAAGCATTTCCAATAAAAAATATTTGTTCGTCAGTAAATTGATTTAAAGATTTGTTTAAAGTTTTAATTTTTTTTGGAGAAGTTGTAAATAATTTCCAAGCTTTATATGATGCCCGAATACCTGCATTGTCTGCAATATTCTCAGATAATGTAAAACGAGTATTTGGACGTAAATTGGTATTCTAAATGTTTAATTTTTTATTTAATTTTTAAATAAATTAATTTTATGAAGAAAAATTTTTTTAATTATTTTTACGAAATAATTCGAAGGATTATTTTCAATTTAAGTTTAAGCCACTTAAAAAATTTTAATTATTTTTTACCTCATAATTATTATATTGGTTAATAAAACATTCAAATTTTTCTTCCATTTTTTTATTCATCTCTTTATCTACATCCTTTTCCTCAATTCTATCCCCATTTTCATCAAAATGAAAACCAGAAGAGTCAAATCCATGAGAAACTTCGTGGCCTAATAAAGTTCCTATACCTCCAAAATTTAAAGGTCCTGGGAATGCTGGGTCAAACCAAGGTGAATGCATAATTCCTCCATAAATAGCTAATGAATTAAATGCCCATTTATAATAACCATCAACAAAGAAAGATGCCTTAATTAATTTTTTTGAATTAAAAAAATATTTGTGTGTTTGCTTTTTTAAACTATCAACAAACAATTCAAATTTGTGTAATCCACTCATAATAATTTTTAAAACATTTAATTGGAATATTAATTTAATTAAAAATATTTTTTAGTATATCTTTAATACCTCAAATAAACTTTGGTTAATAAATATGTACTACTCAGATAGTCCAAAAATTAATTTTATTTTAAATTTTACTTGATAATCAATTGTTGGCCATAAATAATAATTTCTATTTAATTGTACAAACATTTCAATCCAAGACATATTTTCTTCAATTTTATATTTTTTATATAATTTATTTAAAAATATTAAATCTTCAATTAATTTAAAATATCCAATATTTTGTTTCATTTTTGTTAATTTAATTTTTGCTTTATTTTTAGATTCATCTCCAATCCAATTAGCTTCATTAATTAATTGTCCAAAACTTTGTTTAATAAAACTGAAAATTAAATTATTTTTTGTTTAATTTTTGAGTAAGATAAAAAATTAGTTTTGAAAATAGAAGAAAATTCTAAAATAATTTGGGGGAGATTCTCCTTTTTTAAATAAAAACAACAGCCAATTTCCCCTTTTTACATAAGCTCTGCTTCAAAACGTTTTCGAAGTTTTTCCTGGTTTTTAACAACCGATTTAGCTGAAGTTTTTATAATCATAAAATAGTAACGCTTAATAAATTCTATTTTTGGTGAGAGTAAATTTAATGGGCCTTTAAACAAAGGCCTTCAACATTTCTTAACAGCCTTGCTCCAGAATTTCAGAACTCAACTTTGGAAAGAGTTTTTAGTTTTTTCGGCTATTTTTATTCATTTTTCCCTTATATTTAAATTTAAAATAATTACCTAAAAATATTTTCAATTTGTCCAATAACCTTTTTATCAACAAACTTCTCTACATATAATTTATCAAGCCAATGCTTAAAATAAATTCTAACAAAATTCCTCACACACCCAATTTCATCTTTTTTATAAGAATTTAATAAATTCGAAAATCGAAAATCTAATTCATATAAAATTCTCCAAATTAATGCCCAATCCAAATAATCAGACAAAACATTCCCTCCATCTTCATTTCCTGCCCATTCAATTATTAAACGATATTCTTTTAATATTTCATTTCCCAATATTAATATTTTTGTTTTTTCGTTAATTAAAGGATTCCCTTCACTTAAAAATTAAAATTTAAAATTAATTTTATTTTCAATTTTACCTAGCAATTTCATTTAAAATTTTAACAAAATCAATCGAAATACTTGAATATAAAGAAGATATTTCCCCTAATTCTAAATACAATTCTGGTTCATCCCAATTAGAAAATCTTTGTAAAGTATTCGAATATTTTTCTTAAATTTAAAATATTAAATAATTATTTTTTAAAATAATTATTACCAAAAGCTTTTGACATTTTTTGTTCCACAAGAATTAAATTTTTAACACGTCTTTCAATATTTACTTTAAAAAAATATTTTGTTTAAATTTAATTTTTTTTTGCTTTATCTTCCCTGTTTTTGTTAAACTCAGTTTTACATATATTTTTTGGGTATTTTATTTTTTGTTTTTGAATATTTTTAGGAAAAAATAGGTAAATATGCAGATATAGCCCCATAATTTTCGATCATTTTTACTGAAATATTTTTACTAAACTTTATTAGTATATCCGCAAACAACAATTAACGAGTATTTTTAACGAATATATACCCCCTCCCTCCCCCCCCCCCCTTTGGATGGATTTACAAAATTTAAATATTTTTTATACAAACAATTAATTTCTTCTTCATTTAATCCACTTTCCATAAATGCTGGAAGTTTTTTATTTATTTCCAAAGAATCATCAATTAAATAACGTAAAATCTTTTTTAATTTATTTTCAAAATTAATTCTTTCATTGTCTTTCCACAAATTATTTGGAAATGAAAATGGAGATTTTGGTTGTAACATAAACATACCTTTTATTTAAATTAAAAACAATATTTTTTAAATAAAAAAAAC